TGGCAAGGAAGGAGCCATAGGGAAGAGCTGAGCTCAGAAGCCCCTCTCTACAACTTTGCCTATTCCACCCAAACCTCCCACCCTCTTTTGTGCTGCAGAAAACTGCTATTTCCACAAAGCCAATTGCCTAGAACCAGCACTGGCAGGAAGTATCCAACATGGCTGTTGACTGCTTCCCTACAATGACCTATAGCCATTATAATATACATATTGCATACATGTTATATAACATAATCTTGTAATAAGATTGCCGTGCCTGACACTCCTACTCCCATCGTGTATCTGATGCTACAACACTCTCAAGACTTCTAAAAAAGCCAGAAAATGAGTGGCACTCAAACCTCACCCCAGACACTACCCACTATGCCTCCAGAGCATATCAAGGAGTGATCCTAACCCTCATGGGCACAGCTCATTCTCAAGTATGGTCATGCTTCCTCTTGAGTGTGTACTTTTGCTTTGCAAATAAATCATATCCTTCTACTGACCCTGTTTGTGTCTAGTCCTAGAATTCCTTCCTGCATCAGACAAGAGCCTGGATCCAACCATGTCACGACACTATCATGCATATGGCCCAGCAGGTTTTTAGAACAGTCCCCTGGTGAGGCTGGAGATGAAGCCAGGAGCAGGTGCACCTCAACAATGGGCAAACTGACGCTCCCTAGGAAGATGATGGGAGGGGCTGGCACTGAACTGAAGTGGGTAAATTGGCTCCCTGCAGCACCAGTATCTCATATGGGCACCAGTTTGAGTCCCCGCTGCTCCACTTCTAATCCAGCTCCCTGCTAATGTGCCTGGAAAAGCAGAAGATGGTCCCAGTCCTTGGGCCCCTGCACCCATGTGGGAGACCCAGAAGCAGCTCTGGCTCCTGGATTTGGCCTAGCTCAGCCCTGGCTATTGTAGCCATTTGGGGAGTGAACCAGTAGATGGAAGATTTTCTCTCTCTTTGTGTAACTCTTTCAAATAAGTAAATAAATCTTTAAAAAATGATGGGAAGGCCATCACAGGCCTTACCATCTACTCTCCTCCACTCTGACATCTACTTTTTGGCCTTTTTTTTTTCTGGATTACTTTTGGCACTTAAGCCACTTTAAGACCCATTTATTTATTTATATTTCTGATTTAATTATTAATGATCCTTTAATTTTGGATTTCTAATAATTATTTAGTATTTTGGCATACAACAATCATCATTTGGGATGGTTTTTAAACTGTTATTTCTTCAAATAAATCTTAGATCCCATTTTGGATACTTGAACTAGAAACTGGCCATGAGTTTTGACTTCCAGTCAGAGAAGGGGGTACCAAGTATGACACCATAGTGAGAAGGAGTAAGATGGAGGGGAGAACAAATAGGTTATCATGGGCAGGACCGAGTAAGGCCTAGAGAGGGTGGGACCATGGGCAATCGATTTCTCTTCTCAGCTTTGAAAGTGAGTCTGTACACAGTGCCCTGGTTTCAGATGCAATACACCATCAGGTCCCAGTCTCTCATGGTCTCCCAGCCTCCTCCCCTTAGCTTTAAGCTGCTTTTCCCTGCTTTTATGATTGTGAATCAATCTCTTACTAACATTAACTCGCTGTAGTACAGCCAGCCCTACAGGATCCCTGAACGCAAGATGTATGAACTCACTTATCTCTCCCATAGACAACATCTTGATGTCCGATCTTGTCTGGAGGGGTTTCTGAAGAAGAAACCCTGAGCAAAAAGCAACTACCACTTGCATATAGCCCCCAGGCTGAATGGAGCCCCCTTCACCATCATCAAAATTCCAAAGAACATGATATCACCAACCAGTCGAACGAAGGCCATGGGTACTGCAGAACCACCAGGGACTCAGACGTGAGCTGAAGATGTGCCTCCCAGCCTCAACCTCAGTCTCTAGGAACAATTACCTCTAATCCCTCAGAGAGCTTGGTGATTTAAGCAATAGTTGCCTGGCTCTTTGCTCTGCGCTTTGCAATAAATACTTAACTTTGTTCCACTACCCTGATGTCAATAATTGGCTTGCTGTGCACTGGGTAGATCCAGTTTTGGGGGTTCTATAAATTCTTTGAATAAGTTTTGGGGTTTTCTATAACAGCTTTCCTAAGCATCTGCCTCTGACCACATCTACCATTTCAAGTCTTTCCAGTAAATACACGTGCACTTTGCAACTTGCAGGCAGGTACCTTCAAGCAAAACTGTGCTGAGTCCCCCAGGAGAGTCTGGAAAGTTTGATCCCTTGACTGAAATCTTTAATCACCCCTGAGCCAGGCTCCTCGAAATCCTCTCTTGGGTAGGCCTCAACCTTGGCTCCTGGCTTCCACTTGCAACATCCACTTTTAGCAAGGATCTTCCCACCCTAGATGCATGATCAAGTTCCTCATCCCCTGTCTTTGATGTCTAAGACTTTGGGCTGTTTTAGCAAGAATCCTCCACCCTTGGGGGCTCCTCTCAGTGTTTTTCACTTGCTGACCCCTTCCCTCTGCTCTTGGCCATAAATCTCCAGCTATCCCTACCATATTCAGACTGGAGCCTGACCTCTCCCTGTCAAGATAGTCATTTTGCATGATGATCCTGATTTAAGTCTTTCCTGTCATTCTAACAAGTGTTAGTTGAATACTGTAATCAATACACAGTTATTCTCAAGTGTTGAAACTTAACTGAAAAGTGATCGCTGTTAAATATAAGAGTGGGAGTAAGAGAGGGAAGAGATGTACAATTCGGGACATGCTCAAGCTGACTTACCTCAAATGGTAGAGTATGTTTCTAAACATACCAGGGGATTCCAATTCAATCCCATCAAGGTGGCATGTACCAATGCCATCTCACTAGTCCAAGTGATCAATTTCTGTTCACAATTGATCATAATGATAGGACTAAGAGCCAAAGGGAGCACATAAATAAGACTAGTGTCTGCAAATACTAGCTGATAGAATAAAAAAGGGAGAGAACGATCCAACATGGGAAGCGAGATACTCAGCAGACTCATAGAATGGCAGATGTCCTAAACAGCACTCTGGCCTCAGAATCAGCCCTTAAGGAACGCGGATCTGGCTGAAAAGCCCATGAGAGTATTTCAGGCATGGAAAGCCAAAACACTCTGGCAGAAAACACACACACACACACACACACACACAACCCTACATGAAAGATCTCCGCGAGTGAGATCCCAGTGAAAAGAACAGGTCATCAAAGAAGGAGGTACCTTTCTCTGAAGGGAGGAGAGAACTTCCACTTTGACTACGATCTTGTCTAAATATGATCAGAGTTGGTGAACTCAAAAGGCTTCCATAGCCTTGGCAACTCATGACAAGAGCCTAGGGTGATTACTGATGCCACAAACAAGAGTGTCAATTTGTTAAGTCAACAGGAGCCACTTGGTGCACTTACTCCTCATGTAGGAACTCTGTCCTTAGTGTGCTGTACATTGTGATTTAATGCTATAACTAGTACTCAAACAGTATTTTTCACTTTGTGTTTCTGTGTGGGGTGCAAACTGTTGAAATCTTTACTTAATATATGCTAAACTGATCTTCTGTATATAAAGATAATTGAAAATGAATCTTGATGTGAATGGAAGGGGGGAGGGAAAGGGAAAGGGGAGGGTTGCAGGTGGGAGGGAAGTTATGGGGGCGGTGTCGCTCCCCCATTCGCGGAGGAACGACACCATCCCGGGTTAGCTGCCGGCCTCCCCGCCTCCGCGGAGGGGCAGCACCCCCGCCGGCCGGCTCTCTCAGGGGTTGCTCAGATGTTCCTCAGATGTTCCTGGTGCATGTTGTCTCTCTCCTCCTTTATAGTCCTCTTCCACCAATCCATGCTTTGCTGCCCACATGCCGAGCACGCTGCTCTCCTCCAATCAGGAGCAGGATCAGCTCCTGCAGTTTATTAGTTGAACTGGTGAGGCAGCTGTGTAGAAGTTGTTTACTGTCTCTCAGCGCCATATTGTGGGAGATTAGATGCATAGAATTAGTCCTAGTTCCAGTAATTTAGTCTAGTCTCAGTTGCTCCCCACAGGGGGGGAAGCCATTGTAATCCATAAGCTGTACTTTGGAAATTTATATTCATTAAATAAAAGTTAAAAAAAAGAAAACTAGGACAAAAAAAAAAGTCAAAAGACCAAGTACCTTGAAGCACCCTGGACACCTTAGGTCAGGGGACATGGGAACCCAAGTCCAGTCACACCCACTGAAGAGTGTTTGACCTTGTGCAGATGCACATCCTTCCCAGGATATGCCAAGGCCTCACTACACCCAGACCTCTCTACTTTGTGTTATTTACGTGTTGAGAGCGACAGTGTTTCTCGAAGCAGAACATGTCCATCCCATAGACGGTGAGTAGGGACATCTCAACCTTCAGCCCATTCCTTTCCCCCTCCCTTCTTGAGAACGCTGTGTGCACATTCCTTAGTTAGCCAAGCCCTCACTTCACCAACTTCAGTCCTTGGCCAACGTCTGATGTCGTCCCCCTGCCTGCTTACAGTCTGTTTGCAGTTTAAGATTTTTGGGACACAAATCCAACACTGCTTGGGTTAGGTCTTCCTGGGCTGCAGCTCTAAGCAAACCAAATTAAACTGTTTCTTAATCGGTTTGTGTCTCAGTTTCTCTTAAAGGCCAACATCTCAGGAAATGTTTTTGTTCCTTTATTCTGAATCCAAGGAAGATTTAAGAAAAAAGGCACTGGGGGCTGATGCTGTGGTGCAGTAGGTTAATCCTCTGCCTGGGACACCAGCATCCCATACAGGCACTGGTTATAGAGTCCTGGTTGCTCCTCTTCTGATCTAGCTCTCTGCTACGGCCTGGGAAAGCAGTAGAAAATGTCCCAAGTGCTTGGGCCTCTGCATGCATATGGGAGACCTGGAGGAAGCTCCTGGTTTCAGATTGGCTCAGCTCTGGCCATTGCAGTCATCTGGGGAGTGAACCAGCAGGTAGAAGACCTTTCTGTCTCTCCCTCTGTCTGAAACTCTACTTCTCAGATAAATAAATAAAATCTTTTTAAAAAGTAAAAAGGCACTTACTTTTCTTGTCTGTTGTGTTGTGCACCGTCACTGTCGGAACTCCAGGACCTGTATTGAATAGAGGAAGAGGAGTCAGAAAAGAAAGAAAAATGAGACCACTAGTTTAGTTGAGAATAAAAAAAAGGGAAGAAGACAAGCTGTCCTTACAACTTGGAAATCTATGGTGTCTGCAGAACCCAATTTCATGAAGAGTCGTTGGTAGAGGATGGCAGAGGCCAGTTCCCTGGGGTTGCTAAAGGCATAGGTCTCTAACTCAGCACCCACGTGTGGGGAGCAACCCGGACTGGACTGAGTTACTGGAATTAAGACTTATTCTATGCATCTGCTCTCCCACAATATGGCGCTGAGAAGGGAGAAGCAGCTTCTACACAGCTGCCTCCAGTTCAACCAATAAACTGTAGATCCTGCTCCTGATTGGAGGAGAGCAGCGTACTCGGCGTGTGGGCAGCCGAGTTGGGATTGGCGGAGGAGGACTATAAAAGAGGAGAGAGACAACATGCACAAGGAACATCTAAGGGGAACATCTATCTGAAGGAACACCTGTGCAGCCCCCGAGAGAGCTGGCCGGCGGTGTGCTGCTCCCCTGCGGAAGTGGGGAAAGTGGCCAGGGGGAACCGCCCTTCCACGGAGGTGGAAGGGACGGCAGCCAACCCGGGAAGAACCAGCAGCAAACCCGGGGAGGGCCGAGCAGACAAAAGAACAGCACAGGGTCCTGTGTCGTTCCTCCACGAAGACGGGGAGCGACACCCACGTCATTACAGTGAACACAGTTCAAAGTACACATGGTCTCTGCCTTACAGTGGCATGACTTAGGACATTTTTCAACTTTACAATGGTGGAAAAGCGGTAGACCCTACTTTCACATTTCAAATTTTAATCTTTTCCCAGGTTGGATATGTGTGGTATGATACTCTTTCATGATGCTGGGTGGGCAGCAGTGAGTCAAGGCTCATAGACAGCCACATGGTACGGAGGGAAAACTACTGGCAGCTCTAGTGCAGCGTACTGCTAATCCAGGATGTTCAGTAGGATCAGTGTATTCAACACATTTTTGACTTACAAGATTTTCAATCTATGGGTTTGTCAGGACGTAACTCTGCTGTGAATTGAGGAACAGCTATATATTTTTCGAATATTGTAATGACAACAAACATCATTTACAAAGCATGACATTTGATATTTATCCTTATAACCTTTTTGCTTTCCAAACACAAATTCTGGGGAGGTTTCATTGAGTTCTGATAAATGCCTCAAGCCTCAGTGCTAAATCAGCTTCACCAGGAAAGTCACTCCACAAACTAGACCCCACAGAACATTTTGTAAAAACTGACATAATAGGAAGATTTTTAAAATGTTAAATTATGCTTCAGTTTTTCTTCAAATCACTTTGGCGTGCAGTTTCCCAATGGTGGGGCTGTTACAAATCGTGGGGAATGGGCGGGAAGGTACAAGTCGGGGCAAAGTGGCCCCGATTAGTTTTCTCTGTAAGTTGACTTTTCCATTATCTATAGTAAAAGGGGGTCCAGGAAGAAAAAAAGAGGGCTTTCTGAATGAAAAATATCTTTGAAAACAGATTAAGAGGCAGTCTTGATGACTCTTCTAGCCTCTTTTGTACTCATTCTGTTATAACTAGCTGGTTTTCCTAGAGTCTATTTCTATTAGACTGACACTTCTCGCTACCGGAGATGCTTTGCCTCCAAACATTAACATGGCTTATTGTCTACTCATTCACTTGTTCAAATGCCTTCCCCAACCACCCAATCTCAGCATTCTTCTACCCATGTGATCAGGCTTGATCCTTAGCTCAGCTTCTCTTTATACAGCTCATCACCACACATTAGGTCAGCACTTTGAATATGGAACTACCAGTGTATTTGTTTCCTGCGCTAGGCTGCGTGTTCCATGAATTTGTCTCACTGACTTTATTGACAATCACACATTCGTGGAGGGCATGCTGAACGAGTGATCATACAGTATATAGGAGAGGCAGAGGGGGCTGCTCCTCTTGGCTCAGGTGGATTGTGCAGGAGAAAGTGAAGTGAGAGGTGAGAATGAAGGGAAAAAGTAGAAGTTAGAAGCAAGAGGGTGGCAGTGGTCAGAGGGAAACAGATCCATTGTGGGGACACTGTGGCTGGGCTATGCTATGCTTTGGTTTGGGGAGCCACATTGAAGCCACAAAATATACAACATTTGGGCATAAAGATGGCTGGAGAGGGCAGCACTGTGGCGTAGTGAGCTAAGCCCCTGCCTGTGGCCTGGGCATCCTGTATGGGTGCCAGTTCATGCCCTGGCTGCTCCTCTTCCAATCCAACCCTCTGCTTATTGCCTGGGAAAGCAGTGGAAGATGGCCCAAGTGCTTGGGTCCCTGCACTCACGTGAGAGACCCCGAGGAAGCTCCTGGCTCCTGACTTCTGATTGGTCAAGCTCCAGCCATTGCAGCCATTTGAGGGAGTGAACCAGCTGGTGGAAGATGTTTCTGTCTCCCTCTCTATCTGTAATCCTACCTCTCAAATAAATAAAATCTTAAAATAAAAGGATGGCTGGAGTTCAGTGTCCTAGGGGTCACTGTCAGGACTTGCCACACACTTCTGAGGGCCCGTATAGGTTGAGTTGAGGCTGGGTTGAGAGCCGGGGAACCTGCTATAGATCCCACCACAATGGTGCCTTAAAGAAGTTCCCTGCAGGGGCTGTGGGGAGGACATCCTGGCCCAGGAGCCAAAGAGCACAGGTTAGAAAAGCAAAGACATCCTCTACACTGAGAGGTAGGGGTGGGCAGTATCAGTGGGACCCATCTATGCCGAGAGGCAGACTATGGGTCATATTAGCCGTGGACATCAGAGTAGACACCTATTTGTTGTCAGTGGACCCAGAAACCATTAAGTGCACATTCAAGTTCATGGAGTCCAGGGGCAATTTTCCCAAACACTGCACCCTTACCCCATTCACCCAAAGCTCTGTTTGTCAGATAGAATGCACAACACCTGGTTACATGTGAATCTCAGATAAACAATGAATGTTTTCTTACTATAAATGTGTCCCATGAGGTATTTGAGATATGCTAAAAAGTTATGGTAGATTATCTGAAATACAGATGTAACTGGGTGTCTTGACTTTTTTTTTTTTTTTCTAAATCTGCCACTCCCTACCAGGGAGGCAACAGAGTATGTTTTCATATCTAAAGAGACAGCATTTACCGCAAGAGATTCAAACTTTGGCTGTAGGTTTAAATTATTGAATCAAACTAAGTTTCCTGGCACTAAGATCCATTTCTCCCCATGGGGAGCCCAAGTGGAAGAACAGATCAATCATTGAGAAATAAAGAACAGACATACATTTTCTCTGCACATTTCAGGGAGAGTCAATTTGCAAACAGAGCATAGCCTACATTCTTATTAATAATGTAAACAATTATTATTTATTTAGTGCCTACTATGTGAAAGGCACTCTGCGAGATGTTTTATATGAATAATTTCTATTCTGATCTTCACAGCAGTTCTGCAAAGTAGATACTTCTAACCATATTTTACAGATGAGAAAACACAGGTTTAGAGAGCTTTAAGTCTTTTGTCTCATCCATATCATCAGAAAGCTGCTGACCTGGATTAGTCCCCTCTCATTTTTTAAATTTATAAACTTAATACGTGTAGTTTCTAAAAAATTCCAAATACTAAAGAAAGGAAAACATTGGCAAGTAGAAGACCTATCTTATCATTTTCCAGAGGAAACCTACATTTTTCTAAAGTGTCCTAAAATGTTTATGTGAACATATAAAGGACTGTCAAAAAGTTCATGGAAAATATGTATTATGAAAAACCAGGCATGGATTTCCAACAGTTTTTGCACCAAAACAAACATCTTTAATTTCTCCCCGTGTCTATACTTTTTGAAGCATCCTCATATGTGGTTATATTTATAAATAAGCTAATATTTTTGACATACAGGTAAAAATAACATACAAACACTTGAATGTACGTGTGAAGCATTTAAGTTTCCACTGTCGAGTAACCTCAGCTGTGGGTTTGTTACCTGTGGGATTTACCATGTGCTTTCTTCAGCAGCACATAGACTAAAATTGAGGATTTACCGTATTGGAGTACATTCCTTCTACATCTAGTTTGTTGAGAATTTTTATCATAATGTGCTGAATTTTGTCAAATGCTTTTTCTGCATCAACTGAGATGACCTTCATTGTGCTAATGTGGTATGTATTACGTGAATATGGATTCATGTATGTTGAATCATCTTTGCATCCATGGGATAAGTCCTTCTTGATCATGGTGAATGATCCTTTTCATGCACTTAGTTCTTGCTAGGTCAGTTGGTCAAGAGAAAGAAATACATGGCTTCCAAATGGAAAAAGAAAAAGTTAAATTGTTGCTGTTTTTAGATAACCTAATATCATATACAGAAAGCCCTAAAGACTTCCTCCAAAAAACTGTTAAAACTGATAAATAAGTTGCAGTGTAAAAAAATCAACATACAAAAATCAGTAGCATTTCTATATACTAACGTGGAACTATCTGAAAAAGAAATTAAGAGAATAATTCCATTTACAATAACTACATAAGGGTAAAATACTTATGAATTAATTTAACCAATGAAGAGAAAGGCTTGCAAACTGAAAACAATAACACACTGATGAAAGAAACTGAAGACGACACAAAAAATGGAAAGATATCCTGTGTTCATAGCTTGGAAGAATTATGTTTAAAAATGTCCATGCTACTGAAAGGAAGTTTCAGACAAAGTATAATCCCTACCAGGGAAGTTCCAATGACAATCCTAAAATCTGTATAGAACCACAAAAGAGCCCAAATAACTAAAGTAATCTTGAGCAGAAAGAGCAAATTGGAAGCAAAATTGGATGTCAAAATACACTAAAGCTGTAGTAACCCAAACAGCATGGTACTGGCATAAAAACACACACACAGACTAATGGATCAGAATAGAGCACCTAGAAATAAATCTTTGTACATATGGTCAGCTGATAAAAGTGTCAATAAGGTCCAAGGAGGAAATCAATCAATATGTTGAGGCAACTGCATCCC